TAGCTTTATATATGTTGAGGAGTTGTGGAACATTTTTGTAGCTAAATTGTTTGAATATTCTCTATTGAATGTATTGGGCCGGACTCGTTAACAAATGAATACGCAAAATTGGGCCTAATTCCTTGGTGATCCAGCCCAGTTTCAGATTCACAAGAAGTTGAGGTGACTATATATATAAGAGATTACCCTTAATAAGTTACAAGTCACTTACTATGAGTGTTTTTCTTTTCTTATTTTATTATAATAAATAATTTAAAAAGTAAACACAGATATTAATAATAAATCATCTTATTTTTCATTATTTTAAATTTATTTAAATATTTTATTTTCGCTATAATTTTATTCTCTTTTTCTTTTTCACTAACCAACGTTCTATACTGTTCAAACAAAACATTAATTACATAAAATGAAGCAAGGTTATGACGAGATAAAAAGATTTGAATAATTTATCAATTTGGTCCTCAAAAACTAGTTTCTTTCATAAATAGTCTTTTTCAGAATGAAAATCATGCAAACAATGATTTAAGTATTAAATGTTTTAGTAATATTTAAGTGTTAAATGATTTAAGAAAATTAATTAAGTATTTAAGTTGACATGTTCATATTTAAGAATTATTGAAAAAAAAATCAATACTTAAAAGATTATGTGACGGTGATTTTTAATACTTCGGAGATTATTTGTATACCTTCTTTCTTTTGAAAAATAGTTGAATATTTTTTATATTCTCTAATGCCATTACTTTCAAATTTTGTTATTGCTATAATATCATTTGATATTTTAAAGTGTTTATATTTTGAGTAGGAGTATTAATTGGGATAGGTTATAACTCAATCCCGATCAATAAAACTTAATTAAATTGGATTAAATTTAACTTTTTTAATTGTGTCAAATTCAACTCAATTAAAACTATTTTTTTATATATAAATATATAATATGAATCACCTAAAACTTAAGACGAGATTCGCTCTTTTACTTATAGATTGAAAATTTATGTTATATATTTCCTTTTCCATATTTTGAATTAGATTGATTAAACTAGTTATGACTTGACTTGAATGGTTTACATTAAGCCTTGAATTATTTTTTGTAAAATCTATTATTTTTAATTGGTTTGATACTTTAAAATTTCCATTTTTAACAAAATAAATAAATAAATAAATTTAAAATATTGATCCAATTGAACCAACTCAATTCAACCATGGCAAAAATATGTTGAGTTAGATTGACTCTTAACATAAAACACTTAACCCAATAAATTCAATATTTTTTTAGTAGGTTAATGAGTTTTTTAACTTCTATCAAACTCATACCAATAACATTCCTAAATATGAAACTAATAGATAATTTTTACAAATTTAGAATTTAAAATATTTTAATCCATCCTATTCCTTGACTAATTATTATGGTCACATAATAAAGTTACTAAGAAGTGACTTTCTATGAGGAAATTTAAAAAAAAATAAATAAATAAACATACAGGAGCCCGTTAAAGCCCAAAGTCTCCAAAATTTGTTTAATAGCAATATATCTGTATTAAATTAAAGGTAAAATAATGTTTAAGAATAAATTTATCAAATTCAAATTATAAATCATTATTATTTTTAAAAATATATTTTTAAGTTTGATAACATTTTTCTAAGATATAATATATTTTAACATAAATAATTTTTATTAATAATAAAAAATGTCTCAAATTTATTTCAATCGGTTTAAACTTAAGCCGCCTCTGGATACCTAAGCAACTTAAAATAAACAGTAATAAGTGGTTTCAAAACAAAATTAAAAAATAAATAATGAAATAATAACTTTCTTCTTTCTTTATTCACCTTCATATTAGGCGTTTTATTTTATGAAATGTATTAGACATTACAATAAACTAAAAAAAACAAACCGAAGAGAAAAATATATTCCTCTTATTTTCATACGAGATATCAAGAAAATATAGATGTATTAAAAATAGACCATGTTAAACACTATCTATATGCTTGGATTAAAAACTAGCTCGTCACTGATTAAAATAATTGACACCATTTTCATTCAAATAAAAATAAAAATATAGTTGTATATATACTAATTAGCATAACTTGAATAAAATCTAATGAAATTTTTAAATTTTTTTATGCACATGAAGTTTTTTGTGTCGATATATGAAATTATAAATAAAGTTAAAAAAAGGTGATTGAGTAATTCAAATTTTTTTGTTGCTCATATCACCATGGCACATGATTCTGTTGCCAAATTTGACGCCCCTCGTTACGAGTATTTTACGTTGTCATGGATATCCAGCGAATTATGTTTTCCTGTTTATTGTATTTACAGAGGAACATGTTTTTTGTTTTTTTTTTTTTTTCTTATTACTATTAAATGATAAAACCATAAACCTTATATGTTTTCCATTAATAAAATTTAAACATAAACTTGTTTCCATTTTCGTTATTTAACAAGAAATCATATCGAACTTGTTCCTATTATAGATTAAGCTTAAGTAAGAAAAATGTTTTTATATGAAAGGAACATTTTTCAATAAGAGATTTTGGTAAAAAAGAAACACTAGCATAAGTGGTAATTATGATTTTCTATTTTCACACGTGGCTTTGAGAATTTTCTATTCTCACAAGAGGTTCAGTTTGTTAGTATGGGTGGGTCGGATATATGTTATAAAAGTCTTGGCATGATCTATCTTTTTGTACGATTAGCACAAGTTGTATGATATTTAACAAAAGCTTATTTTTTTAGATTAAAGTATTATAAAGTATTTATCTTTTAACATAAATAACCATCACCACTACTTGAATATAATAAGTTATATACTTTACTTTTATAACATATGTAGAATAAAGTATGGCGAAAATCATAATTTAGAATTGTTTCATATATGAGTCAAGGTTGTTTGTTATGTTGTTTGAGGTTTAATTTTTGTTTAGTGAAGTGTCCTTTTAAAATGAGTTGATAGGTACTACAATATTAAAGTCAATTTAATCTCTGATAAATAATAATTAATACTTTTTTACTATAAATTTTGTAATAATTTTTTAATTAATTTTGATGTAATTACGACCAAATTGTGAGTAATTATACTTTAATATTAAGTTAATTAGTTTTAAGTTTAATCTATTCTGGTACTGTTAATTCTTATGAATCTTCTTATGAATCTAATTGAAGGCTAAACGGTTTGTTTGGTGATCATTCGAGCTAGTGACATATTCTTTAGGTTGAAACTTGACTATTTGAGTTGGTGCATGATTGACTTGTCTGTTTGGTGGTCAGTTAGTGATGGCAATGCTCTAACTAGGACAAGCCAAATCTAGAAGCAACCAAGCCATGTACCCAAGATGCTCACAGTTTTGATAATAGTTTGCGGAATGGTGGTGGATGAAGATAAAAGGCTCACGGTTTTGATGTGTTGAATGGTGAAGGATGAAGTGTTTAGGGTTCTCTAAGAGAGGTTGGGCCAACTCTTGGAGGAAGGTGGCCTAGAGGAGGCCACTTGGGTTACTCTAACCCTAACAGGGTGACCTTAGAAGAGGTTGTCTGCACAAAATGACAGCCATAACTTTTACTATAATTTTCTTCCAGGTGATTTACATAATGGAGAGCACCTATATTTTTATAGTAAGGTGTCTCAAAAATATGGGCGCTGAAACTTTAAACCCTAAAAGAGCACCTTGTTGGCTGGAGAGGAAGGAGAAATCCTCTCCAATCAGAAGAGACAAGTGGAAAAAAAATATTCTCAAATGAGAGAGTGACATGTGGGCCACTTTAAACCTATGAAAATTCTCCATTTCCAGAGTGACATAATGACCACTAACTAAAGGAAGAAAAATCTCCAATGGAAGCCTCTACATCTCTAGGAGGGGCAAATATTGCTCCCCTTGTCCTCCAAAGCCTTATTAGCCAAAATGTTTACCCCTTGTGTCAACACAACACATTTTGGACATCCAAGCATATCAACTTTGGGGCCTTGGCCCTTTGTTGACTTGTTTGGTCAAAATCCTATTCTACTTGGCCTAAAATACAAGGCCCAATTGAAATCCTACACTACTAGGTCCATAATACAAAGCCAAATAAAATCTAGACTACTTGGCCCAATATACAGAAGCCCAAATAAAATCTAGACTACTTGGTCAAAATACAAGGCCCAAAATTATTCTTACTCTTATAATAAATCTTCATGATGACTTAAGATAGCCCAAGAGAAAGAGTCTAGGTCCATCTTCCATAGATGCCTCCAACACTTCATGAATAGTGCTAGGTCATGGCAGGGTATGCCTTCAGTCCGGGCTCTTGTTGGTTGCTCTCCTAATGCTGTGTAAGTTTGACCGTCTAGAAACCAGTGCATGATCGGACGATCTTATTAAGAATAAGCTGCCCGCTAGGCTCCTAGAGCTCCCCAGAACTGTTGGTTTGCTTTTTCGTGGTTAACCATTCAAGGTTGATGTATAGCCGGTTGATCTAATTTGGTGGGTTGGTTTTGAGCTTACTGGTTTTGCTATTTTTTTCCAAACTAGTAATTGATCATTTAGATAGTGATATATGAGTCGATTGACCCCTCCTTTGGTGTGTCCCCCGACTGAACTTGTTGATTTGGTTTTTTCTTCAAATTGACATTGATCACTCAATCATACATTTCATACGAATCATTTTAATTCTTTATTCTATTAAAAATCACGGTTTCAAATCGATAATTTTTGATTATTCAATTTAATAGTTAACCTGTCAATTGCTAAATACACTGTCATAGATTACAATAATAAAATAATTTGCAACTAAAACATATATCCATTAGAATTTGCAGTTAAAATCTTTGTCTAGCATCACATACGGTTTAGTTTGTTTTAATCTTGTTTATTCATATTCCCTTCTTTGGTGAATCTTCAACAAATGTGTAATTTTTAGACATGAACCTGTCAAAAAAACTAGAAACAGTTGGCAGTTACTCTGCCTAAACCTACCCCCACACAACAAAACCAGCCCCACCACCCCCCCCCCCCCCCCCCCCCCCCCCCCACCACCCCCCCCCCCCCCCCCACCACCCCCCCCAACCCCCCCCCCCCCCCCCCCCCCCCCCACCCACCCCCCCACCACCCCCCCCCCCCCCCCCCCCCCCCCCCCCCCCGCCCCCCACCCCCCCCCCCCCCCACCCCCCCCCCCCACCCCCCCCCCCCCCCCCCCCCCCCCCCCCCACCCCCCCCACTCACCCCCCCCCCTCTGAACCCCCCCCCCCCCCCCCACCCCCCCCCCCCCCCCCCCCACCCCCCCGCCTCCCACCCCCATCCCCACCCCCCCCCCCCCCCCCCCCCCCCCCCCCCCACCCCCCCAGCCTCCCCCCCCACCCCCGCTTCCCCCTCACCCCCCCCCAACCCCCCCCACGCCCACCCCCCCACCCCCCCCCACCCCCACCCCCCCACCCCTCCCCCCCCCCCCCCCCCCCCCACGCCCCCCACCCCCCACCCCCCACACCCCCCCCCCCCCCCCCCTCCAACCCCCCCCCCCCCACCACCCCCACCCCCACCCCCCCCATCCCGCCCCTCCCCCACCCGCCCCCCCCCCCCCCCCCCCCCTCCCCCGCCCTCCCCCCCCGCACCCACCCCCCCCCCCCCCCCGCCCCCCCCCCCCCCCCCATCCCCCCCCCCTACCCCCCAAACATTCCCCCCCCCCCACCCCCACCCCCTCCCACCACACCCCACCACCCCCCCCTCTCCCCCACCCCCCCCCCCCCCCCCCCCCCCACCCCCTCCCCCCCCCCCCCCACCCCCCACCCGCCCCCTCCCCCCAACCCCCACCCCCCCCAACGACCACCCACCACCCCCCCTACCACCACTACCCCCCACCCCCCCCCCCCACCCCCACCCCACCCCACCCGACCCCCCACCCCCCCCCCCCCCCCCCCCCCCCCCCCGCCCCCCCCCCCCCCCCCCCCCCCCACCCCCCCCACCGACCCCCCCCCCCCCCACCCACACCCCCCCACCCCCCCCAACCCGCCCCACCGCCCTCCCCCACCCCCCGCCCCCGCCCACCAACCACCCGACCCCCCCACTCCCCCCCCCCCACCCCCCCCCCCCCCCGCCCCCCGCACCCCCCCCCCCCCCCCCCCCACCCACCCCACCCACCCCACCCCCCCCCCGCCCCCCCCCCCCCCCCACACCCACACCTCCCCCCCCCCCCCCCCCCCCCCCACCACCCACCCCACCTCCCCCCCCCCCCCCGCCCCCCCCCCCCTCACCCCCCCCCCCCCCCCCCCCCCCCCCCACCCCCCTCCCCCCACCACTCCCCCCCCCGCCCCCCCCCCCCCCACCCCCCCACCCCCCCACCCACCCCCCCCTTACCGCTACCCCCCCCCTCCCCCCCCCCCCCCCCCCCCCCCCCCCCGCCCCCCCACCCCCACCCCCCCCCCCCCACCCCACCTCCCTCCCCCCCCCCCCCCCCTCCCCCCCCCGCCCCGCCTCCCACCCACCCCCCCCCCCACCCCCCCCAGCCCCACACCCCCCCACCCCCCCCCCCCCCCCCCCCCCGCCCCCCCCCCCCCCCCCCACCCCCCCCCCACCCCCCCACCCCCCCCACCCCCCCCACACCCCCCCCCCCCCCCCCCCCCCCTCCCAACCTCCCCCCCACCCCCTCCCCCCCCACCCCCCCCCCCCCCCCCCCGCCCTCCCCCCCCACCCCCCCCCCCCTCCCACCCCCCCCCCACCCCCACACCCCCCACCCACCCCCACCCCCCCCCCCCCCCCCCCCCCGCCCCCCCACCGCTCCCACCCGCCCCCCCGCCCCCAACCGCCCACCCCCACCCCCCCACCCCCCACCCACCCCCCCCCCACCCACCCCCTCCGCCCCTCGCCCCCCCCACCCCCATACCCCTACCCCCCCCCCCCCCCACCCCACCACACCCCCCACCCCCCCCCCCCTCCCCCCCACCCCAACCCTCCAACCCCCCCCCCCCCCCAACCCCCACCCCCCACCCCACACCCCCCATACCCCCCCCCCCCATACCCCCCCCACCCACATCCCCCCCCCCCCCCCCACCACCCCCCCCCCCCCCCCCCCCCCCCCCCCCCCCCCCCCCACCCCCCACTACCGCCCCCGCCACACCCCCCCCCCCACCCCCCCCCCCCCCCCCCCCTCCCCCCCCCCCCCCACCCCCCCCCCCCACCCATCCCCACCCCCCCCCACCGCCCCATCCCCTCCCCCCCCCCCCCCCCTCAATTCCGCCCCCTCCCAACCCCCCCCCCACCCCTCCCCCCACCACCCACCCAGCACCCCGCCCCCCACCCCCCCCCCCACCCTCCCCACCCCCCCCCCCCGCACCCCCCCCCCCCCCCCCCCCCCCCCCCCCCCCCACCCCCACCCCCCACCCCCCCACCCCCCCCCCGACACCCACCCCCCCCCCCCAACCCCCCCCCCCGCCCCCACCCCCCCCCCCCCTCCACCCCGCCCCCCCCCCCCCTCCCCCCCCCCCCACCCCCCCTCCCCCCCCCCCCCCCCCCCCCCCCCCACACGCACCCCCACCCCCCCCCCCCCCCCCCCCCCCCCCCCCCCCACCCCCTCCCCCCACACCCCCCCCCACCCCCCCCCCCCCCCCAGCCAACCCCCCCCCCCCACCCCCCCCACCCCCCACCCACACCCCCCCCCCCCTCCCCCCCCCCCCCACCCCCCCCCCCCATACCCCCCCCTCCCCCCCCCCCCCGCACCCCGCCACCCCCCCGCCCCCATCCCCTACCCCCCCCCCACCCCCCCCCCCCCCTCAACCCACCCACAACCCCCACACACCCCCCCCCCCCCCAAACCCCCCATCCCCCCACCCCCCCCCCCCAGCACCCCCCCCCCCCCCCCCCCCACCACCCGACCCCCCCCCCCCCCCCCCCCCCCCCCTACCCCCACCCCCCCCCCACCCCCCCCCCCCCCCCCCCACCACCACCCACCCCCCCACACCCCCCCCCCCCGCCCACGCCGCCAACTCCCCCCCCCCCCACCCCCCTCCCCCCTCCCCCCACCCCTACCCCACCCCCTCCCCCCCCCCCCCCCCCCCCCCCCCCCCCCCATCCCCCCCCCCCACCCACCCCCCCCCCCCCTCACGCCAACCCCCCCCCCCACCCCCACACCACTCCACCCCACTACACACATACCATCCTTTTTCACCACTACACCCCCTACTTATTCCGGAGGTCCATTTACCCCACTACTTTTTATCAAATCCAACCATTGTAACTGAGAACCAATAATTATTGAAATATATGTAGTGATGCTTTTACGCGGAAGTTTCAATTATTTTGAAAGTTTTTGAAATTGTAAATGTACATTCATACTTTCACACAATGATTACTGCGTCTAGTTTTCCACTAAACTTTATTGCTTATAAATTTAACAATATGTATCTCTATTATAAGCACAAGTTTCAACTTTTGCACACTTCTAGAATAAGGAATTTTTTATTCTTTATTCATATATAGTCTGAAGAAAACAAATTTCGTAAGAAAACTATAAAAGACTTCTTTTATAAAAAATTATCAAGATTTAGAGAGAGAGAAAAATAATAAAGAGTGATGGTAGATACAAAGAAAAAAAATAGTATCAGCCATTGAATCAACGAGAAAATAAATCAACAATAGAAATAAATAAGAAAATTTCAACTTTTTCATTTCTTTTAGATTTGCAAATTGCACCCTTACTTTTGTAATTCCAATTGACAAATATTAATACAGTACTACACACCAAACATTCTTTACCAAACACAACAAAATACTAAAAGTTTAATAAGGTGGGATAGGAATAAAAAAGGACTCTTTAATAATGAAGCCAATCTCAGTTTTAGGGCACAAAATGGATCTAAACTTTTTTCAGGTTTTATGAGAATTTTTTTTCTCCTACTGGTATTGGTACAATTAATTTTCCCAATTAGCACATTATTCATTTTATTTACTCAAGACAAATTTCAATTTTTATATATACATATTTTTTTTATCTATTAAGAGAAGTAGGGATAAAATATGGATATATGAAGGATATGATATAATGTAGGGAAGCATAGGATAAGAGGAGGAGGCCCTCCACATCAGACCCATTCATGGCTGTTATACCAAAAGGGTCCTACATAATTAAACAATACCTTACTATATAGGGCCCCACCATTTATGACACGTCATGTCGCAATCTCTCTCTAACTTCCTCTGTCTTCGTGAGTCATGACAGGTAGAAAGATTTCATGTTACAACCTCATTGCTCGCTTAAATTAGGCCAACCGTTGAACCCCGCGTATTCTCTCTCCCTCTCTCTGTCTCTCTCTTCTGTCTTTCTCTCTCTCTCTCTTCCAACTGGATTCGTTCCTCCCCCATTTCTGAGAAGGTGGGGGAGAGAGACCGACAGGAATTTGATCCACCTCTTTCTCTGGGTCTAATTCCAATACTCTCTTCAGATTCATCCACCCTTTTGTTTCAATTGCTTGGAACCGTCGCACATTTTTACTCTTTTAATTTGCGGGTCCTGAATCGCAAAAACCCTAAAGGGCGCCAATTTGGAGGTACGTTCATGTTCCGGACGAAGAAACAAGAAAGCGAGGATTTTTTTCGCCGGAGCCAATTCGATTGGAAGTTATAGATTCAAAGGAATCCTTTGATTTTATCGGATAACCCCCGACGCAAAAGGGGGTAGATGCGAGCAATCCCCCCGAAAACTTGAAGCCTTAATCGAAGATTCGTATCGGTTCTTCAAAACCCATGGATTCAACGTTTTTCGCGCTTTGGATTCTTGATTATTGGCATTTCCATAGCTTTATGTGTTTACTGCACAATCCCGGGACAAAATGGGAGGAGTGATGCCGAATCAGGATCACCGGCTTTTATTGTGTCCAGCCCTCCACCCCCGCCCCCCCCCCGCCCCCGCCCCTCCACCACCTCCACCACCGTCTCCTCCGCCTCCTTCATCCTTCCTGGGACACGTTTAGTTGCTCCACCGCCAGGATCAATGCCTCCCCTTTCTAACGAGATGGGTGCGCCACAGCCGCAACGTCACCTGGGCCACCACCACCACCACCATGTGCACGCACCGCCACCGCCACCGAAGATGAATGCGGGGAAAAAGGTTGGACTTTTGTTTGCTGGCATTGCGGCAACCATGCAAGTTGGCATGGTTGGGTACTTAGTAGTAAAGAGAAGACAACTTTTGAATAGCGATGAGGACAGATACGAGAATTGTTCTTGAAATAGATTCTTATCAATTCATTTTAATTTATAAATTTAATGGATTGAAATTCTTTGTTGAAAGCGTAATGGTTGGGAGAAGGGGAATATTGTTTGGATTTTACAGAATCTGATGGAAGGAACATGAAAAGGCAAGCACGTAAAGACACCAATGATTTTAGAAATTATTGGAACATGAATTGTGTGCAATTGATGCCATCATTTCGGCCCTTGGCGTTACTGTGTATATTGGTACTGCTAGTTCACGTTTCATGCTGTGTTGCCTCTTTTTCCCTTAGTTCCATTACATTGGCTTATAATGGAAAGAAAAAGTAGCCCTCATGTACCTTTTTTAAATTTTTTTCTTCTAATTTGATCTTTTTTTCTAACATGTTCAGTGTACAATGATGCTAGGAATCTTTAAAGAATTAACAATGACAATCTTATATTCTTTGTTTTTTCTCCTCCACTCAGTGTCTGATTGTTCGATGTTGTTGTATTCTATTGTCCTTGTGTCTAGAGTTTCTCTAGTACTATATTATATTAAAACTGTTGTGATTTGTAACTATGTTCCAACTTCAAATGGAAATATAGAATATTTCTCCTAGTGTTTGGAACACCCTTAAACGAGCACCCTTTTTCTTCTTTTTCTTGATAGAAATGACGTTCTGCTTTGCCATCTAAAGTAAAATTAACTGCTCACTGGCTTTAAAGTAGACTTTGTATCATGTTTTTGGGTTTGACATCTTGAATGTGATTTAAAGAAGTTACAGTTGTAGCTTATACGTTCCAAACTTGATTTCTTACTTATAACAGTACTTTCAAGCAGGTTATCAATTGAACCTTAATTTGGTTGAAATCTCTCAATGTAGTATTATATGTCTCGAGATTGTTCACTATATGATTTTATAATTGTGCCTTTGGAGGATGCCCTTTGTAGGGATAACCTGTCTAGACAATGTACATAATGCTGTTTAACTAGAGATAACCTCTGCTAGACATGATATGGTATGTTGCAATTAGATGCCACATAACAAGCATAAGTTTGCAAGTTAATCATTTATAACATCTCCGGTAGTTTGTCTGTCGACATTTTTTGATAGAACTTTGTGACATTGTTTTACTCCCTACTATAGTTAGTAGGAAAAGGTTTGGAGGTTCCTGTTTCGAAGAATTTTATATAGAGCAGGTAATGGGTGATTTTAATGCATGCTATCATTTACTACATCTTGTATGTTCTTGAAAGCAGCTGACAGTATTATGTTTATACGATTCTTCTCCATTACACTTACAGGTCTTAATAAATCAACCTCATTAAGGGAAACATGGTAGATATAGAAGCTTTCAAAATGTATATGACTAACTTGCATACATAAATTTACTTGCAATGAAGCGTCTATAATAGCAACATTCTGCATATTGTTAAACCGTGAGACGTAGTCGATTGTTGATTGCTGAAGATGGCACATTAAAACTGCCTGAGTATTTTTTGTTCATGTGTTGTCACAAGTGTTCATCCTCAATAAACTTGCAAACTGCGGTTCACCCCTTGGATTTGTTCAATTTTGTGAAGAACGATCTTAATAAACTTTTATTGTAGAATTATTGATTGTACTGATGATTGATATGGGTGTACACAGTCTCTCTAAAGCAGAATATTCAAGTCACATCCCATCAACACAACACTAAGAGGATCTGAAATTTTCAGCAAGTATGAGATTTGTCTCGCTGGATTTACTTCGTGGGAGAGCTCTCATACATGGTAATATCCTTTGCCAATAGGTAGATTGTTCATATCCTATTATTCTTCCAATTCAAATATGAAGTCTGTTTGATAAACTTTTTCAGAAGCATTTTTAAAAGGAGAAAATATGAAAGAAAAAATAAATAAATTTCAGCTTTAAGTTAAAATTTGTTCACGGATAAGTTAATTTGAATAAGTTATCTCGTATTAGCTAATCCAAAATTAGATTCTTAACTTATGTATTAGTTAGTTTTAGCTTGTGAAGAAGTTTCTAAAAACACTTAAAAGAGAGAAAAGGATGAAATAGACTTCTTCCCAAGCTAAAAGTTATCTTGCGGATGTTATCTTGTGTCGACTAGATCAACAATCAATGGTAGCTTTTTAATGAAGTAGAAAATGCTTATATACATGAAAAGAAGTTGAAAATGCTTATATATCATTCATTTCATTCCTTGTTCAACTTGGCACTATTGTTTCTGGTATAAATTCATGTACAGAATTAGGAAAAGTTGCAACCTTTTCTAGATTATGTTGTTGACATCAGTTTACCCTTTTTAACTGCTAAGTTTTTATTCTATTAATGAGCGTTAAATTTAGTAACTTCACTTGAATAAATAATTTATCACCCTTCTAAAGCATTGCTTCAAATTACTACTTGAATAGTTCTTCATACAATTATTGATCCATCAATGTAGTATCTTGACTCCAATAAACAATTTATCACTCTTCTAAAACATTTTCTCAAATTGCTTAGAATGTTTTCATTCAATTAATGATCCATTAATATAGTTTGACTCGAATAAATAATTTATAGATCTTCTAAAACATTGATTGCCTCATTATTTCTGCAGGTCAGAGATACTCATTGCACAATGATAAAGCTTATGTTTGCATTTCACTTAGAATTTAGCTCAAAATCATTCCAAAATGCAGAAGTTAATGGTAGTAACTTTGGTTCATCTTTTATTGCAGTCTTATATACATTGAAATGTGTAATCAAACATACGGAAATTGTAGCACTATGTTTCATTGTAATAATGTTCTGCTATCATTTTTCTTTAAACATTTTGAATTTATCTATAAACACTTCACTAAAATTAAAAATAAGAAGAAATAAACATTTATGAAAATTAGTTTGTACATTAATTAATTTTAACTAACAAAAAACTTAATTTCATTTTTTCTCTTATGAAAAATTTTCTCAGTTTTTTTCAATGTTTTCATTTCCTATTATATTCACAACAACGTTTATGACATTTTAAATTTCCTTTCTAATTATATAATTTGTTGATAATTAAACCTACTTGGACTATAAAGTATTCTACTGGAATTATGCCCAAGTGACAGCAAGAAGCTAACAACTACAGATTTTATTATCATGATGTGGCCCAATTCAGCTGCAATTACAGTCCAATTTCGGAGGACTTCAAAAACCTGAGGAACAAAAAGAAAACAGCTCACATTTGTCTTATATTTTAAAAATTATATAGTATCAAAGTTACGAAAATCACTTTAATTCTAATCAATATTCGACACAAATATCAAATTGTAAAAGAAAAATATTGCATTAATGAAAACATTTTTTGCTAACTCACTTATAACAGCATTTTTAATTAACATGTATTGATTTGATATAACGATGTTGACACTCCAAATAAAATTTTAAATCCACGAATAGAAAAATAGGATTCAAGGAAGAGAAATTGTCACAAAAATTAGTTAAATTAGTTATCCATACACAGATACTACTGTGAAAAGAAATGTTTTTAACATCACTTTATGTTTTTTTTTACATTAAAGAAGATGATAGATATTTTCTTTTTAATTTTTAATGAAATGGATTTCTCCACATCAATTTGGAAGTTAAAAACTAAGTTATTTTCATTGTGACTAATGTATTTTTTGAATAAGATGTTTCCAATAAATGAAAATAAAGAAAAAGAAGGGAATCTGTTGTTTGGTTGAACTTCCAAGAGGTGATGAAAGTGATTGATTTGAGAATTCACGTTTGAAAAGCACTAGTTGCTCTTGATGCTCTAAAAATAAAAGACACACACACATTAGAATTCTCTTTATGCAACTTTACCACCAACATAACATGCCACACAATCATCATTTTGCTCTCTCAATTCCACCCGTGCTTCTCTTTCCATCTTTTCTCTTTATGCAACTTCGCTACAACATTTTCTCTTTTCCTTCAAATCACCCTCTCTTTTTCTTCTTCATTAAACTATAATTTTCAGCTCCCATAATCTATTTCATTAATACTATATTCACTCCAAAACTTCACAATCATCTGATGTTGATAGCTTAGAAAGTTGCATGCATGATGGGTATCTTGGGCCATCTTTCTTTTTCTCTTCTCCACAAGATAAGTAACAGTAAACATACTTAGGATTTTTATTACATGCTTACAGTCATATCGTGTTGCATATAATATTTGAGATTGTTTCAGCCATGCATTCCAATGTTAATGTGTGTGTTTACGTGGTATCTTTGTGGACAAATCAAGATATACAAAGGAACCATACCCACAGAAAGCAATTAATTTATTTTTCGTGATCATATATAGTAAAATGATCTTCAAATTTTAAAATGATCTTTCTAATGTAAAATTATTTTTTAACGTGTAATTCAACTTCAAATGAAAAACCAAAACGTAGTATATATAAATTGAAAAGAAATTAAGCATTTATAGTTTGGAAGACATTGGATTGGATAAGTTGATTTTAGGTTTGAAGTCTCAGTGCCTTTCAATTATTGATTCACCTAAAAAATCAGACGACCAACCCAATTTCTGAGATGGTAGTGGAATTTACCATTTTGACAAAATCATTTCACTTGGAATATATCCCAAATGATATAAAGTTGGGGCAGGAGAGAACTGTAATTTGCAAATAAGTAAATACCCCTGTGGGAAGGGAATAATATGCAGTACAATTGGCACATAGTACTCTTTTGTAGTTTTCCTGTGACTTACTTTTCCTTCTTAAAACAGCTTTGAACAACTCCAACATTGCCATTGCAAACACTTTATTGTTACTCCCTACATTGTCGTGTAAGACCATTTAACTTGGATAATGATTGAGGTTAGAAGGTTAGATTAAGGTTTAGCAGTTACCCACGTTTATGGTTCAGGGCAAGAAAACAAAGAAGAAGAAAAAATCTAATATTAAATGGAAGTAATGAAGAAAAGCTTGAAAGCCTGATATGAATCTGCAAGTTCATTAGATGAGTGAGAGAATTTGGTTGTTGTTGTTGTTGGAAAGTGTCCTCCCTAATAATCCTAATAGTGGTGGTAATGTATGCAAATATTCATTGCACATGATCCCTACTACTGGGTCCATGCACATAACAAGGTTCAGAAGAAACACAAACATCAGAGCTTATTTGAATTGTCCTTGCTACCACCCATTATAAAGCAGACTGCAGAGCAACTTAATATGCTTTCCAGTCAAACAACATAGTGTGCAAATCTGAGACATGTTTTTTTTTTTTTTTTNTTGGATTTGTTCAATTTTGTGAAGAACGATCTTAATAAACTTTTATTGTAGAATTATTGATTGTACTGATGATTGATATGGGTGTACACAGTCTCTCTAAAGCAGAATATTCAAGTCACATCCCATCAACACAACACTAAGAGGATCTGAAATTTTCAGCAAGTATGAGATTTGTCTCGCTGGATTTACTTCGTGGGAGAGCTCTCATAC